GAAGTGGGCGCCTCCGTGTGACCCTTCGGGAGATTGAGAGCCGTTAAGTCAATGAGATAAGTTTACGCTACCATATTGATTCGACGTCGGAGCCATCCTTGTCTTCTTGCTCCTCATTTCGGGATGATTTTATTATATTTTTATATCGGGAACGTCATTTATCTGCGGAATATACAAATTACTTTTTTATATACATCAGATGAAAAAGATAACAAAGGAACGATCCACAGATCTAACACACAAAAGTATATCAACATGGAGAGGCTAGAAATATTTATTATTTGTTTGTTTGCAATTCGATAAATTATTTTATTCTTATATCTTTTGAATTAAATATTTTTTGGAAAAGACCAACTGAATATATTTAAATTGATCTTGTTCAAAAATTTATTCCGTTTCGCTTATATTATAATTATTCTTCTTTACTCCGATCTTTTATTTTCATTATCTTTTTTGTTTTATCGTTATTTTTCTTTACCTCGTCTTTTCTCGCTATATTTTCGTCTTTATCCTCCGTCGCTTTCATGGCACGACCATCCCCGTCGACTCGGGGACTTCGCTCCCTTTTTGCCCTGCAACGGTTCAGCCGCTTCAGGGTGGCATAATCAGCCCTTGTCGGAAGGGTGTCACGGTAGTTAGCTGACACACCGGAGTTTACGATAGAGCGACGGCGTCGTAAATTCCTCGTGCATTGTTTGGGAATTTGTGAGCGCTAATCGGTCCTCGTCACGTTGGCGAAAGGCGCGCCGACGTCGTCGTTGTCGTCGACGACATCGTCGCCGTTGCATCGTTGTCGCTCTTCGCTGCAAGATTGACGTCAACGTCGACGACAGTCTCGTCCGTCATCGATGAATATTTGCCGAATTTCATGTTGCCGCCTCAGCGAAATTTCTCAAATTCGCGAGCTTGATCGTCAACGCTCCACATTTTATCGGCGGATCGCTCGGAAAATGGATGTGCCGATAATCCATGCCGGATTTATTTTTGAAATATCGAAGGAATATTATTAGATTATTCCTCGATTTGAGCGTTAAAAAGATCTGATATTTTGAAAGCAGCCCAGTTACAGAACATTTCGCCCGACGTTCGTATTTTCAAAATTTTAATCTCGTATATTATTCTAACTCTGCGCCATGCATCACGTATTCATTTATAATCGATACGTTTATATTTATACATTTATACATCGCATCGGAGCGATTATCACCGTCGGCCATAAAGCACGGGATTTAAACGCGACACTCGCGTTACATCGGGATCGATCGATTTAATCGCGCGACGAAATACGTTTAGTTATCAAATACGTTATCAAATAATCAGATCTTGAAGAGAACAATGAATCGGCCGGATTAACCGCGTTTCCATATTATTCCTGCTGCTTCCATGACGGGCGCGAGCCCGAAATAAATGGTCGCCCTCCCGTTCCGTAAAGTTTCGCACAAGAGTTTGCTCGGTACCAGGCGAGACTGCTCCGAGTACTTACGACCGTATTTAATTTAGTGTATGAATTTTATGCGCGCCGAACGCCTCCGTGTTGCACGCGTTTACGTTTATAAATCAGCACGGCCGACATTCTCTATCGCGTGTAACGTCGGGTTGCCTCTCTTCGACCTATCTCTACCCTCCGGTGGCGCGATGTGCAAACTCCATTATAGGAATTTTCCCTCCGCTACGCGAAAGGCTGCAGCAAATTTTACGATCGATCGGCGGCTAAAGGGAGAGAAGCTCCCGAGCCCGCGGTCGCCGCTCGCCCTCCGTAGGGCGACCGAGGGCAAATCGAGGCGGATACCACTTGTCTGCTCGCGTTACGATAGGTCAGCGTTGAAATTCAAAGCGGACCTTCAAAGAACCCATTAGCCGGCACAAAGTGATATAAATCGCGCTTAATGCGGTATGGCCGCTCGTTTAACGAGGCAACAAGGTTCTCTGCGATAGCATTTGAAAATAAGATCCGTTGAGAAATTACGTTGCTAATTTTAACCGCGCAGCATCGACTTTTTAATCTCGCGACGAATTCCCGATTCGAGTTCTATCTTTCAAAGAAATAGAATTCGCGATTAGATCTCGTGCTTTACTCATGCATGCAGTGTTGTCTCGCGTTTGCGTATTTTGCGTATTCTTTATTTATAAAGATTATAAAGGATCGCTAATTACACGTCTTTTTTTTATGATTTATAGTACAAATTTCTTTTGGAATAGCGGAGCATGCCGAGGCTACATCACCGGTGAAGTCGAGATTAATAGCGTTTCTCGTTCGGTTACACTGACGTGAATTTACGATGCTACTAATGCAGTTACCTTGCCTTAAAGTAATGATTTTTCAAAACCAAAAGCGACCGCCTCTTCGCAACGTGGTGAAAACCAGCGAGAAAAACCGGGCACGGTAATTTTACATTACGCGTAATTCACAGAATGTAAATTACAGAACTCCATTAGCAAACGGCTTATTTATTTTGCGGCAAGATTTCCATGCAAGATGTCGAGCACACGACAGCGATATATCACCTTCCAGATATTCCGAATTAATCACGCATTTACAAATTACGATTTCGAATTTCTCGATAATCTTCTCGATTTTGCGACTTGTACGGAAATAATTGTTAATATCTGATCGCTCAAAATCAATTCGTAAAATGATAATGGTTCGATAATATCGCGAAACAAGATCCTAAGCGATCTATTAAAGCGCTTATCGACAAATCCGCCACTATGTCTGCTTAATTCAGCAAATTTAATCCGGTAAAGCCCCCAATACCTGAAATTTGACGAAGCTGCGTCATCCCAACTCAATGCAGTACTCCGAGTTTATGTTCTCCACCATACAATCGTAATCATATCTATATTTTTCCGATTATATGCCAGTACCATTTGGTCACTTAAATCACTTTTTGTTACCTATTTTTGACAAGTCACTAAAAAGTCATTATTACCCAAAATGGATTACTATAGTCTACCTTTTTTTTTTGTAATTGACTAATTTTTATATTTTTTTTTTTTTTTTTTCTTAATGACATTTATCATTCCGAAATGAATTTGATAAAATTATCACTTTTACTATTTGTTAATGCCTGAAAGATTATTTTTTGTCACACAGCAGTTACTATTTCACTTTTTTTAACCCTAGCGGTGACTAGTAGCGCTGATTATATGGTATATAAAGTTACAAAGTCAATGGAGTCTCGAGCGCAGCTAATAGCGAGAATAATAATAATGCATTTAAATTGATAAACTTCGAGAGGCGAGGGGGTTAAAAATATCGGTAAGACTTGCCGATGTCGCAAAGTTTATATCGAGCACCGTGTAAATCAACCGATATTTGGGAGGAAGAGACTTTCGGGGGGAAGGGGGGGGAGAAAACGTCAGAGAGAAAAATTAGGAAAATTGACGAGATCCGGACGACAAACATTACGCATTACGTGGTGCGCCCTTGTCTCGTCTGAATAGAGAAAGCCGCGGAATATCAGCGAAATTGCCGGTATCTCGAAAACGGAGCGGAGCGGAGCGGAGCGGAGCGGAGCGGAACGCAGCCCCGCATTCGATTCGAGTTCCTCCTCCGGCCTTGGGCGCGCTTTATGCGATTGCGGAAACGAGAAGGAAAAGGTAAGAAGCGGATAGAAGATAAGTTATTGCTCGTCGAGGTATGCGGCTACGTATTTCCTTATACTTCCGCCTCGCGCCGGCATCTCCCTCCTCATTCCGGCCTCTATTGTCGGCCGGATTACCCGCTGAAGGGTGTTCATGAACGCTGGCGGTATTACCGTCGTCCGTCTAGATTTAAATCCCATCCATTTGCGGCCGGCAAATCTTATATAATCGTAGCCGGCAAAGCGTATCGCTCGACCTGACGTTTCATTCGCACGAGCGGCGTCTCCGTGCGTTCACATTCTCGCAGTCGCCATTTCGCAGAACGGCCTACACGGGATGTCCTCGAAAAGTGCGAGGAATCGCGAATCTCCTCGGCGCTCCGAGGTTGGTCCTTCACCAGCACACCGACAGAACATCATTTCTTTCGGCCTTTTATTATTCAGCCAACTTGAACTTTAGATATTTTTGTAATTAAATCTTTATCGCAAAGTTTTGTGAAAATCGATAATCAACAATTTCAAAAAAATGTCATTGGTATCTCGATATTTTTATTTAAAAAAATATTGGTTCTAAGATTTATCTTAGTGAATGTGGTTTTTTTAAATTATTGTTATTATTATGAAGCGTTCCGAGTTCCACCTTGTATAATTTTCCTAGACTTATATCAGCATTGTGTGGAAGTAGATCGAGATTAATGAAATTTTCCTTTGGGATGCATATCTTTCTACGCGAAACTTTGCTCACGGAGATGATGATTCCACGAATGTATTAGATTATTCAACCGTTATATGCAGTTGCATCTATTTCGCGGATTCGGCAGCGTTCCCCCGTTCTTATGAATAGAACGAAACGTAGACGGTAGTTTAAAGTAAAGGGTCAATTCCACGCGTAACTCCCGCGTTCCCGACGTTTCTCGGAGTCTGGCACCGTCGAGCGTGAAATATTTTCTGCTCGAGAATACGCGGAAGACGCGCGTTTGACGATGAGTGTCTACGCAATCGACTTGTCTCCTCTGCCTATTTCGTCATATCTCTTGCTTCCTCCCGTTTCCTCATTATTTCCCGTTATTTCCCGACTGGTTGCTCGCAAGTGCATTCTCATCTTACTTACTTACCTCTCGCGAATATAAAATAACGGCCGCCAGCCTTTTTACGCGACGCGTCCACTCTCGATTTCAAAAGAATGACACCCGGTGGGTGAGGCGCGGGGCCGCGGGGACGCGACGTGGGTGAACGGAAAGAAGAGGATTGGATGGAAAGTGAAGCGGGGGAGACGTAAGAAACGTGGATTCTCCGGAAGCTGTGCACACAGGGAGAGGAAGCGAGGCACTGTTGCGCATCGAGCGGGGTTCGCCGGCCGGCCGACAAGCGGCTCACAAAGGGACAACTTTGCGCGAGATGATCTTGTTTACGTACCGGGTATCGATTTACCGAGATCGAGGTACTCCCGCACGGACGGGCTCAGGAATCCGGGCGGCACGGCCGGCGCCTCGTTCGTCGGATTGTTCCTCTCGTCCACGGGATCGTCGTAGTAGTAGTCGTCCTCATCGGGATCGAGGGGCTTTGCCCGCTTCGACACTTTGCTGCTCCGACCGCCACGTGCGCCGCCTGTAAGAACAATTTTTAGCCATAAAATATGACACATGAGACGATTAATTTTAATGTTAATTAAAAGCATATCGTTTGCCAAGTTCGATAAATTCTGCGATAAAACATTTAACATTTTTTTACATAATTATAGGAAATTCGGAAAAATTAACGAATCCGATCGATTTGGGATTTTTTTATTCCTTACGAACCGCGACTTCAGTCCGTATGACTATGACGGTTCTTTCTAAGGTAACTATTTTTTACTAAATACATATGACTTTTATCTGCGATTATATTTATAAAAAAAGCTCGAAATTTATGGAAATTTATTTCTCTTGTGATGGAAAGAAATTCGGCACAGTCAAGTTTTCTCGATATTTAAACATTCAAGTATTTTAACTCGCAAAAGTCCGAATTGGTCTGTCACACCACAAAATTAATGGCTCTCTTATTCCTTTAATTGCATTGTCCGCGCGCCTTTCTCCCTCTATTAATTCGCATGATTGAAGTGTTCTGTTTCTACTGTTATTTCCTTCTTGATGAGTCCGGTCTCCCCGCAGGGCGGGAGAGAAAAGAGGGACGAAAGAAACGCCGTCGCCTGGAGTCCCCGGGGGTTCATGGTCATTTGAGCAATCTGAAATTTAAATCATTTGAAAATGCGGCCAACCGTCGCGAGGTGGTTCCCACAGGTAAACAAATTTTTACAGTCTTTTTAATTTATGCGGAGGAACGTTTAATCGATGTTGTTCATCGCCGCCCGCCGTTTTTCCTCTGGGAGAAACACGGCTGCGTAGTGCCCTCCTCCCTCCATCCCCTCGGTACAGATGCACGACGATATTTGCGTTCCAGATACGTCCGAACGCACAGGAAATTCCTTTCTATACGTTCTCGCTGAATATTAATACGTCACGCGGGTGGAAATTTTCGCGAAACCTGTGCTAAAACGACGCGACACGGTGTGTCTTTGACAAACGTCGAGTTTTCCGGTTCCACGTCAAACATCCGGTAACTTTTCACGATACGAACCATACGATCGCTCGATCGCGGAGCGATAATAACGTAATTTAACGAGGATAGAAAATTAATTAGCTCCCTGGACTTTCCAGGCGTGTTAATTTCGATTAGGTGCCGGCTAATGTGCGGCTCGGATCACCTCGACCATGTGTACGTGAATGTATCTTGAGTAACGTAGTTGAGAGAAGCGGTGGCCGGTGGCCGCAAAACTTGGACGGCTCCTTCGTCCGCAGGTGTGTACCTCGAGAAACTTTACGTCGTCCGTGTCACGTGAATGGACCAAGTTTTGTCGATCTGAACGGACTAGGTTAAGTCTCGGAAACCTTGAGTCTGGCGTCCTTCCGAAAGAAAAGTAGCCGCTGCTTTGCGACGAGAACGTGCTCCGGCCGTCAGAAAATCAACGAAGAAAGTCAACGAAAATCGGAGACCCCGATGTTAAACTGAAATCACCTCTCGAGCTGAAAATTCGATTTCTTGCTAAATGGCTGAAGCAATATTTGGAGCAGAGCAACAAATTAGCAATAAATACCACTAAATTTTTTGATAGGGGGATACGAAGTCGATTTGCGACGATGGGGGTCCAGCCTTAATAGGGGTAAATCGCAATCTCTAGCAAAAAAAAGCGAAGATTAAATCAGAGCTTTCATTCACGGCGCAAAAATTAGTCACGCTCCTCACAACCAGTTGTATGCAAACATAGCGAGCAAAGCCATGATTAACGCGATAAATTCGACCACATAATCGTGCTATGAATCCTTAGTAAGGCGTATCATAATCGGGGAACGTGCGTGCGTGCGTGCGTTGCGTGCGTGGTGTACGTGCGTGCGTCCATGCGTCCGTGTTACTCCAGTTTACGAAAGCTCGAGTGGAATCCCGTGTTCATTCTGTTTGATACCGGCCGCAACGTCCGTGCCATAGAAGCTAATTAATGGCTCATCGACGAGGCGGACTTTATGCGTCAAAACGCCGCGGTTTAATTCGCGCGCGAACAATGCGTCCGTACGCGGGTGGGATTTCCGATCGTGTCGCCGTGTTGCTGATTTTCTTCTCCCCTTCCTCCCTCCAAACCCTTCACCCTTCCGCGCATGAATTTCGAACTCTGGTCGCGCGTGAAATATGATTTTAATGTTAAGCGGAGGCTCGAAAATACTCGCTGTAAATACTATTTTAATATCGCAAAATATTTCCGTCCGCGTACGGATGATTGCTTCAATATGTACAATAAAATATTTCAATTTTTTATTTTTTGTTTTGTTTCTATTTTATTTAACAAATGTCGCGTTCATAACGTCAGGGAGTAGTTGCGAGCATTTACGCGACTAATGACCGACACATGATTTCTTGTCGTTGTTCGCTGAATGCCGCTCTGCGAATTACCCCCATTATCTGCGTAATTTAACAAACGCAATCACTTTTCCACTCTTCCATTGGCCATCGACCGTTCAATAATCCTTTACGGCGGTGTCGCTGAGATTATTAACGATATCCGTGTCGCGAGTATATTCCGGGCTCTTTGAAGTATCGTTACTTCTTTAGCTAGTTTTACAATTTCGCTCGTGTCGTTCGTAGCTTCATTTCGCTACGTATTTACGTTATGCCGCTCGCAAAAGGTGAATCGAGTTCCGGAGTATAATAAATATTGTCTATCTGTCCGTCCTCCTCCGTTTTCCATTAAAGGAACAGAAAGGAGCGTGGAAGAAGAAAAAGAGTCGCGCACGCGCGCGCGCGCGCGCGTGCTCGACGTAACTATTTTCTGCGTTTCTCTCGTCGCGCAAATATCCCAGGGAAACGGCGCTTTAATATCGCACTGCCGCATGAAAATTCGCTGTGGATCGTCCGGAGGGGTGCGAGGGGAAGAAACAGAGCGAGAGCGAGAGACCGGGAACAGACACGTTGGTAGAGAGCTGCAAAGGAATTGGATAAGAAAAGAAAAAAAGATGGAGAAAAAAGAGAGAAAGATGTGGCGAGGAGTGGGAAGAAATAGGAGGAACGAAAGTAGAAAAGGAACGGCCGCGATATCATACATGCGTGCGTGCGTGCGTGTGTGCGTGCGTGCGTGCTCCGTGGGAAAATCGACCGGCCGCAATTTCGCGGATGCGTATTGTTCGCCGGAAAAAGCGCCGGTATACAAACACGATCGTACGCTAATTCTCGTATTTATCCGCGCGTGACACCGATTATGCACGCGCGGGCATCGAAATGCAGCTCTCCGGGGATGAAGCGGGAGAAGCGGGCAGGGGTCAAAGGCAGGGGCTCGCGTGTGAGAAAGAGAGAGATGCGGCGGGAATGCCTGTTATCCGAACATCGTGTTTCCTTGCACGGGCAACTGGCTTAAAGGACGTTAAATATGCATGACGGTGTCGAATTATGTTGATCCCGCGATCTCTTGCGCCTCCTATTAGCTCGTCGGCGACGCGTTCATCGCCGATATTTCCGCGTACGGTAACTCTGACGAGTCCGTACAAAAGATCTCTCGAGACGAGTAGTACGTTCCCAGGGATGTGAGAGGGATGTTATCCATCACACCCTCTCTTTTCCTCAGTATCGCTACGCGGACAAAGCCACGTTCCGAACGATCGGTCGCGCGACGGAAACGTACGAGCGTAAAAGCGATGAAGCTTGCGATTTTTTTGAAATAAATGACGGATTTTTCGGATTTTTGCGAATTTATGAAACGCCGTGATGCCCGGCCGCGCCGCATCGCGTTTTCCCTCGATATCGGATGATAAAATACGCGCGCTCGGGCAAGTATCGGACCGTGGGATCAAATAACATTTGTTATATTAAATGCCACGGACAAACAGGTGTAATTATTCGGCCGGTCTGGTCGTATGTCAAATAATTATCAAATGTCCGATATGTACCGGCGGCAAAAGTAGATATTAAGCGTACTCGATCCGACGAACTAAATTATCATGGCGGGATATGTAATAACGCATGGATACATGGATGCTGTAAATCGATTCGTCAACTTGCCTCGAGGACGGCGCAAAAATAAATTACGCATAAATTAAAAAAAATGATGACGGAAAGAAGGGAGGAAGAGGGTTTCTATTTCCGAAAGACAAATCGGGGATATGATGCCGTCGTCGCTGCTGTACCGCAACGATCTCGGCCCAGCTGTCTGCGTATGATAATTAACTATCGATCGAGTTGTTTTCTCCATTAGCTGCTGCATTTTCGGTGGCCTAATTATTCCCTTGTTCGTTCTTTCGAGCTGGAGAAAACGTCACGATCGACGTATTTAAAAACCGGGGAAAATAATTACTGACGCGAAACGCTCCATATACGCTCGTTCTCTGCAAGAATTGTCGGTCAATTTATGAAAAGTTACGTACGAGGAATCGGCCATGGCGATTATCGATCGCTGTGAGATTTAACGTTATTTTATTTGCGATATTATTTGCGATGTTTCGAAGTATGGTTGGAATTTTATTTACTGTCAGACGAATTTCTTCCTAAAGAATGTCATAAAATGTAATCGAATCTTTCGAACTGACACCAACTTGTGAAGTTGATGAGAATTGTGACATTCGAATTGTGACTTATTATTTAAATCGAAGACTCGATTGGTCAGTCGCTTTTATCTATATATACGGGAGAAAAATCGAAAAGAAACGTAATCGTAAAAATACACAGCGCTACTTTCGTCGGCAGCGGCGTCAGGCAGGAAAGGGGGATGAAACCGCAGGCGCGATGACGCCATGGATAAATCGCCGTGGTAAATATGATACCGCGGTAAACAGTAAGCGGCGGTAAACCTGCAAAGGAAATACGAGGAGATGGGTTCCGTGGATAAAGGAAGCGAAGGGGATAATGCTCGTTTAACCGATAGTCATACCACCGACGTGTTCGTTCGCCCTTTCGTCTCTTTAAATATCCTCAGAATATATCGACACGTGAAAGAGAGAGAAAGAGAGAGAGTGAGACCTCTATTCCGATCTTTCGGCAAAGCCGAGCATCGCCGTGAAATCTCGTATCCCAACTTAGCCGAAAGACGATCA